AAAAGAAATGGTAACAATAATGGAATTGAAGAAAAAGATGATAGAAAAATGAATTTACTATAGAATAAAGTAAATATAAGAGATAATAACTTCAAATGATTCTCTCAATCGTTATAAAATATTTATACACAAACTAATGAACAACCAAGCCTATTTATAGACTTGAAGATTAGGATGGGAATTGTAAAGGACTATGAGTCATTAAAAATACATAAATTGTTGATTCAATTGTATCATCTTTTCAATTCTCCATATTGAATGATGAATAAAATCACATAAAGAATTATGAGTAGTGAGAATATGAAAGGCATATGAACGTTCATATGGATATTCATTATTTCATAATAGAAACCATATAGATTCATTTGTCAAAAATTGATTCCGAGGGAGCTTTTAGTGTCAATATAAAATTTAGCTCGACTATCTTCTTACACTCTTTAATAATCATGATCTTTTCATTTTTTTTCACCATTCCATTCGAGTGCACACAATCACATGATGACGTCCTAATGCATTATCTATCATGATAGTCTTAGTAAAAAAAATAAAATAAATCCAACTGAATTATTTCGAATTATTCTTGTATTTTATATCTATTCTTCAATTTGTTTTTATAAGTTTAATCACTTTCAATTGGTCTCTAACACGGGGACATTTTCTAATATATCTTTTTATTAGATATTCTCATCCTAATTGACGAAAATACTCTCATATGAGAAACTCAAACTCGGACTTAATTTATTAAAAAAATAAAGTTTAATAGCATATGATAATTTTTTTTATTTTCAAATTTATTTTTTAATAAATAAATTTAGAAGGATAGATTGGAAAATGATCTAAAATATAAGAATATATTGGGAGCAATTAGACTTTTAAGAACATGTTGAAGACTAAACCTAAAATATAAAGATAAATTTAACGAATTTCTCAATAAATTCACAATCTTACAAAATTGGTTGTGATCTCTCCACAATTTTTCATCCTTACGTTTTATTAAAAAGTTGAATGGACAAAATTTTCATTAAAGCTTTGGTATTAAATCAAAACTCGTAAGCAAATTTGTCCCCTGTAACTATACATGCTTTTAAAACTTAAAATTAATGGAAATTTAGGTTGATTATGGATGGGGGAATCTTTACTATCTAATGGATCAAACTATATAGACCTAATCGCTTAAATTAAAACTACAATAATGTCTTTGCCAAAAATAAATACTCCTTCTATCTTGAAAAAAAATGTCATCTTTTCTATTTATCTATGTTTCAAAATATTTATCTAATCAAAACTTTAAATAATATAGTTTTCCAAAATACCCCTAATTGATAAAATAATTAATTATTTCTTTTATTCCTTGTTCTTCACCAACAAAAAAATCAATAGTCTTTGTAGTTTTCCTATATACATACAGATTATACTTTTAGCATAAACATTTCAAAGTATTAAAAATATTCATTCTTGTGGGACTTTACTATATGTTGAAATTTTAGGAGTAAATATTTTTATTAGTATGTTAATTTTTCATAATTGTTTTAAACTTGATCGTTGATTAATATAATAATTTTTTCTTTGATTTATCATCTTAATTTTGATTAGATTTTCTCAAATTAATATTGGTTCCATGTAATTTAATATTAAATTTGATAACTAACAATTAAAAAAAGAGTATTTTAGAAAAAAAATATGAATAAAAAAATACTAATATGGCATAGTAATTAATAGTTTTCTTAAATTAGATAAAAAGTCAAAAGAAATCTCTTTAGGATAGAGGGAGTACAACAAAAGTTTTTAGATGTTGTTTGATTATCGAAATAAAGTGGTAAGAATGAAAATAGAAGTTTTATTTACCTTGTAGCTATTTGGTTAAAAGAAATGAAATGAGAATGTGAATAAATAGTGAGAATGAAAATAAAAATTAAACATAGCTTCATTCTCATATGAAAAATAGGAATTAAAAAAAAAGAGAATAAAATTTTTTTCTTCAAAATAATAATTTATTATTTTTATTTATTGTATATCAATTATTTCTATCATCACTACAACCAGCGAGCATCATCACCTCTATTGGCGAGTGGTGATTAAAAACAATTATTATTATTATTATTATTATTCCATATGCCACCATCACCTCCATTGGTAGTAATGATAAAAGAAATTCGAAAAAAAAAATTATTACTACTATTATTATTATGTCACTTCTCCTCTTCAACCATCATTGTTATTTTTATTATTCAACTATAACTATTGAAGGTTATGTATAAAATATTATTATTATTATTATTATTCCATCACTATTCTTCTTCAACCAACATCTTTATTTTTATTATACCATTACCACCTCTTTTATTGAAGACGATGATAAAAAAAATTTATTATTCTTCTAACACCAGTCCTTTTTAACAACCATTATCACTTTTATTATACAATCACCACCATTACTATTCTTTCACTTTCATTTCCTATGGTGATTGTATCATTTTTTAAAATGTATTATTGCTATTACTATATTATTATTATCATCATCTCACCATCCTTCTACTCTTCCGCTGCTGCAATCATCTCTATCATTTTTACTACCATTATAGTTGATGAAATTATTTTTTAATCATTATTCTTATTCGTATTAAAAATTTAATTTTCATTTTGATTCCTTATTATTATTCTAAAAACAGTATATGAATACAAATATTATTATGATTTCTTAATTTTTATTCTGAATATTTTATTTTTGGTAACCAAACGACACAAACCCAATAAAAATGGCAATTAAAGTTGTTTTAGCCAAAGTAACCCATCTAGCAAAGTTAACCTTCCAATCTGATAACTTTTCAATTATTAAGGAGTTTGTATTGTCCTTTGAAAGCAAAACATGATACAAAGACACCTTTGTTTTTTGTAAAACATTTTATAAAAAAATAAAAATTGTCAATGTAAAATATATTGTGATCAATATTTAAATTTAGTTCATTCATTAAAAAATATTTCAAAACGATTTTTAACTCATAAATTTTATAAAATATTTTATGAACAATAATTAACTTGTAATATCATATAACTATTTCAAGTAGCAAACTCTATCACCACTCTAATCACCACCACCTACATCCCCATTCTTAATACTCCACCTCCACCTCTAACTTTGTCACCACAACTACCATCATTAACTACCTTATTGTCATAAAACATCATAATCTTTTTATGAACATCATATTTTTCACATTAGTTGCTTACCAAATATTATAAAATGTTTTTCATTTTTTATATGTAAAAAATTCGAGCAAAGCAAACCTTCTTTAATTAGCAACCCTAATTTATTTATTTATTTTTAATGATAAATTGGTTAATTAGTTTTTAAGAGTAAATTATAAATTAATTTTTTTATTTTTGAGAAACAAATTAATTACTCTTTCTTATTTTTAAAACTGATAATTTAATCATTTGATCAATATTGATTATGTTTACTTTAATTTAATTTATTTCATAAGATGTCATTTTTTTCTCATCACTTCTACTATATTTTTTTACCTTTTTTATTTCTTATAACAAAAAATTTAAATGAATTGAAAAAATATAAAAATATTAAATTATAAAAAAATTTAAAATAATTAGTTTTTTTTAACAAGATTAATTCATAAATTATTGACTTTTTTTCAAAAACAAAATCTACAAAAATCCGGAGCTCGTTCCGGTGCATATCTTAAGATGCCCTCCTGTGGAGAAACGAAATGTTTAACGAAGTCGGATACGTGTCGATGTCCTACTATCATAATGTTCGTACGTTATTCTTTTGCCAGTCCTTGTTTTGTCCCTACTTTGTCCTTGCAATCAGAAACCCACCCCGAATTTTAGCAAAAACCTCAACTGGCATTAGTTCTTTTTCGCTTTATAGCATCATCACATCACAAAACTTTTTTTCCTCCAAAAAAATCCCCTAAAGCCAAAACTGTCATTTCAGCCCCCCTCCTTCTCAAAACCCAAAAACTCTTTCCTTCGTCCCCCCTACAAAGAAAAAGAGGAATCCATTCTAGGGTTTTAAACAGTGAATCTTTCCTTCTTAACTTGCGGGTAAGAGTATCTTTACTGTTTCATATAGGATTTGACAAGTAAAGTTATGGTCTTTGCTTTTGTGGAGTGGTCACTATTATGCCTTGTTATTGTTTGACCTTGTTTTTTTGGTTAACTTGGAGGAATAACTTTCTTGGATACCTGTATTTCTTTGTTTATTTTCTTTCATTTCTGTTTTCTTGAATTGTGTTTCAGTCATTTTTTATGTGTTTAGTTTCTTTGAAGGGTGACTCTGTTTTTCCCCGCGTTTGTGCAAAATGGCTGGTTTTTTTTTGGTCAATAAAGAATTGTTCTCATGTTAGTTTAGAAAGGAGGTGCTGTTCTAGTGCTTTTTTGTTTTGTTGAAGAGGAAAGAGAGTAGAGAGTGAAAGTTTGGACTTTTTTCTTCTTCTCTGAATTCCAAAACAGTGAGGAACACGTTTCAACCAGGTTAGAGTGGAAGGGTTTGGTTCTGCAGTTTGGATGTCTTCTTTTATCTGATTCTTCTAGCTTTTGTTTTAGCAACCAAATAGAGAGTCTTATTAATGTTGTGGATTCTTTATCCATGTTTTCATAGCCACACACATGACGACTGACTTCCATTTGAACTTATAGACCTCTACACAGATCATTAATCAAATTAAGAGAAATTGTCATGTTTGCTTGTTGGGAAGTCTTAATTCAGCATCCCAAAGAGTTTCTGTTCTCTGTCATTGTCATAGTTCCTGGGACTTTATTGGCAAAAAAATGCACATATGGTTTTATGCAATTCTATGATTTTCTTTACAAGCTAGCATATATGAGTCTCCAAATAGCCAAGTTACATATAAGCATCTTTAGCTTGATATTCCCTTATTACTCATGACCATGGTAAATTGATACATCATTTTCAGGGTACTATGTCAGATACCTTGTTACTCAATTAGGAAAGAGCACCATAATAATAATAGTTTAGCAATATGGCCACGGAGAGTCCACTTAGAATGCCCTCCCACAAGGAGTCGGCAACTTTTGCACCATCAACTCCTAATATGGCAGTGGAGGATTTGGGATTTCTTAGAAAGGGTCAAAGATTCCATGGCAATGGGAGAGATGCAGTCCCTAATCGAAGTGGAAGTGCACCTCCAAACATGGAAGGCTCCTTTTTGGCGGTAAACAACCTCATTTTCCAGCAAAATTCCAACCTTAATCCGAGGTTAGGGAGTTCAAACAATGCTCTTCAAGCATTTGACTCGGAGAAGCAGTCATATTTATCTTATTATGGTACTGGTGCCAATCTAAACACCAGACTTCCTACACCACCCATCCCAAGGGAGAATCAGCATCTGGGACGTCAAACTGTTAAGTTTGGCAGTAATTGGGGATTGGCTCCAATAGATGACAGCAGTAACAGTTCCTTGCATTTGTTGCAAGTTCTTTCTACACACAAGGAAGAGTCTGAGGATGACCACTCACCCCAGCAGCCCTTGGACAATTTAGTTGACACGACAAATGGATTTTGGTCTGGAGAGGATGCTGCTCCATTGGCAGGCCAATCGAAAAGCTTGGTTGATTTAATTCAGGTAGCTATTTTCATTACTAGGAATTTGGTCATTGATTTGAAAATTAATTAATGTGCTTGGATACCTCATTATATATTTTACTCTACTGTTGGGTTAAGACTTAATCTCACTTCCTTTTAAAATAGCTTCCCTTGAAAATTGTTAGCTACATTACTCTGATGCAAATGTAAGGGTTCTTAGTTTAAGCATGTAAATTCCAGAGGTTGTCATTGATTGCTTCTAGCTGTGTTCCATTTGGATTACATCCGTGTTGGAGCATGTCTGCAACAACATGCTCTTCTTAGTTATGCACCACTTTTATTGGATGTATTTCATATATATTATTGATTTCATTGTTAACTTCAAATTTTAGCTCCATGTTTCTTTCTTTTCTAGTTTTGTTTATTTAATCATGGATGGACTGCACTGTTGTTCAGAGTTGTTTTGGCTTGTAAAGTTAACTGTAAATGTTCACTGGTGCCATAAAACAACAGTAAAAATAGCAATTTTAATTCTATAAGGTTGAAATAAAATAAAATTTGATCCATTATTTAATGCAATTTCTATGCACAGTATGCTGCTTATTGGTTTAACGTTAACATTAGAAAACGGAGATTGATTCTTAGAGCTTTGTTCTTTTTGATTACTTTATTATACATGTGTTAATTATTGATTCACATTTGCAGGAGGATTTCCCCCGTACTCCATCTCCTGTATATAACCAGTCTCGGTCCTTAAGCTCTGGAACGACAGATGAAGCAGCTGATCATGACATAGTTTCCAGTTCCTTGCATGATCTCACTGTTAGCACATCCAATGCCATTCCATCAATTCTAGGTACAAAAACTGTAGGGCTACCATTGAATGTTGATCCCTCAATCACTCCTGTTTCAAGCTCATTGTCTCTTAATTGCACAGGAACCACACAACCCAAACCACCTGTTAGCAAAGGATTTTTAAATAGTGCAGATGTTAACGTTATTGAATCTGGAATGAAGGGTCTTAATATATCTAGCCTTCAGAATCCCAAGGAGCAAAAAAATCTAGAGCAGTGGCAACACAGCTACCAGGGCCATGTTCAGCAACATCAAGTCCACCAACAGCTGAGCAATTCATTTCAAGTTCAAAGTGCCAAGTCTCAAATGGGTTCTCAGGGAGTAAATTCTGCATATGTTGGTATGGATCAACTTCTCCATGGCCCATCAAAGTTCTCAGCGGAGTTGCAGCCAGTATTGCAGTCATCTGGGTTCACGCCTCCTGTTTACGCAACAGCTGGCTACATGACTTCACCAAGTCCATTTTACCCAAATCTACAGGCTCCAGGATTATGTGCGCCACAATATGGTATGGGGGGTTATGCTCCGAATTCAAATGTTATTCCTCCGTATGTTGCTGGATATCCCCCTCATGGTACAGTTCCAATGGTTTTTGATGGCTCTGTTATTCCAAACTTTAATGCCGCAATGTCTGGGACTTCAAGTGGCGGAGGCATTACCCATGGAGCTGATGTGCAACATTATAACAAGTTCTATGGGCAGCTTGGATATGCAGTTCAACCTTCATTTACCGATCCTGTATATATGCAATACTATCAACAGCCTTATGGACTGGCATATAATATGTCTAGTCAATTTGATCCCTTGGCATCTGGAGGTGGTGCTATTGGCAGACAAAACAATGCTCCTGACTTAAAGAAAGGGTCTGAAGTTGCTGCTGGCTTGGAGGAGCAGAAATTGCTACACCAGAGAGGTGGAGCGATTAATCTGAATCAAGGTAGAGGGCGGATAATGAATCTTCCCTATTTTGGAAATTCACCAAATATGGGTATATTGCAGTACCCCTCATCACCCCTTGCTAGCCCAGTTTTGCCAGGATCCCCAGTGGGGGGCAGTGGTATTTCTGGAGGGAGAAATGAAATGAGGTTCCCGCCAGGCAGTGGTAGATATGCTGCTGTGTATTCTGGATGGCAAGGTCAAAGAGGATCAGAGAGTTTTAATGACCCTAAAGTATATAATTTTCTTGAGGAGTTGAAATCTGGCAAAGGCCGCAGATTTGAGTTGTCTGATATTGTAGGGCACATTGTTGAATTTAGGCAAGTCCTTACTGAGTTTGCTTTCTTTTTTCTTTTTTTTTTTTTCCTTTGTGTTGATAAGTTAAATGATAAAGGCTGTTTAAACTTCAGTGCTGATCAACATGGTAGCCGATTTATTCAGCAGAAGTTAGAGAATTGCAGTGCTGAAGAGAAGGCATCTGTATTTAAGGAAGTTCTTCCATATGCTTCCAAATTAATGACTGATGTTTTTGGCAACTATGTTATTCAGAAAGTGAGTGCTTAAAATATTCAATTTTTTGGTTTTATGTGCACCTTTTGCTGGCAATGTTGATTATCTTGGTGTCCGTTTGTTTATTTGCAGTTTTTTGAGTATGGAAGCACTGAGCAGAGGAAGGAACTTGCTAACCAGCTTACTGGTCAGATTTTGCATCTAAGTTTGCAGATGTATGGTTGTCGGGTAATCCAAAAGGTATCTGTGATTCTTGTGGGACACTGTTATCATGCATTCCTCACAACCATGTAGTTGTTTCTTATTTTGTGTCCATGGTTGACCGCTTGCATGCAAAGAAAACAAATGCATAATGATTCTATATACAAGGTGTGGGAATAGTAATGGGACGTTTCACTGTTTCTTGTATTGACTTTGTTTACTCTGTTAAAGGAGCGCTCCAAGTGTGCCTTAGACACCAGACACTTGCTCCCAAAATGAAAACATTTTTTATGCTCTAGCCGAAGCCCCTTCACTTGGGTGTGCCTAGGGCCTGCTTTATAGGCACTCTTCTTGTATCTAGATGAAGATGCCTCGACTTCACTAATTATTAGCTTTTGTGTGGATGTATTTCTTGCTAATTTATCTAATTGCTTTTTTTAGGCGGCCATGCAAGCATATATAACCATATCAGTATGATCAATAATGTTTTGGAAATTATTGGGTAGGATTCAAAAAATTTATATAGTTTATGTAGAATTTTGATTTGCAACCTTTCTGCAATAGCACAATATTCTACCATTGCAGATGGTAGACAGGCTACATAAATCATTCATCATTCATTTTTGCATTTTTTTTTTTATATATACTATATTTTTATCAATCTGCTCACTATATATAATCATATAATTACGGTAAAGGTGGAGCCTTATTTTGCTTTGGTGTATGCCTTGCTTAGCACCTTGCATGTAGGCTGAATAGCCTTTGGTGTTTTAGTGTGCCTAGGCACTGTTTTACACCAATGGAAAATACCATTTACTCACATTTCTTTTCTGCAAACTCTCTTGTTACAAGTAAGAATTGCTATGGGATATTGCTGGAGTTTACCATGAGTAAAATTTTGTTAATCATGTGAGCTTCTTAGGGGTTTGATTAACATTATAAAGTTAGGGGTGGCTGAGATTCATGTGCTTGTGGCAACTGTGGTAGAAAGTTTCTTCCTGCAAATTTCTGGTTATTTCTATTGCCATCTGATGTAGATTACTTTCAAATTCCAGACTTTACTGGTGGTTACTTTCATTGGCATGGGAATGTATCCAGTTAGTGAAAGATCAAAGTTCTGTTTTTTGACTAATGAGCTACATTTGAAACAACTGCAGTTTGTTATGGTTTTACTTTGAGTTAGTCTTGCTGTCACATAAAGCTGATACTTGTTTAACAACCTAATTACCTGGGATATCTGATTGTAAACGTTGTCACTAGGTTTTCTTTTTCCAATTGAATCTTTTTCCCATATTTCTCCCTAAGCGTAATAATGGCTCATATGGAGCAACTTTTGGTAAGCTTTTGATCTAAACCTCAATCAATGATATTTTCTTAGTCTTTTATTTTCATTCATTTAGATTAAGTTGTATTTGATCAAGTTCTTTTTCAAATTGGTTGCCAACTGAATGTCCCCCTAATGTGTGCTATTGGATGTGTGAAAGTATAAAAAGAAAGGGAAAAAGGGGAAATGTGAATCTTGAATGGACTAGTAAATTATTTAGTTACGTGCTGTTGTGAACTATTTCATAAAGTCAGGCTGTAGATATTCTAATAGTTCAAATTGTCATCTGAGGGGGCCGAAGAGAAAAAACATACCAGAAATCAAGATGTTCAGGAATTTGGTTACATTGTCAATGATGGATGGATGTGATGCTTTGATGAAACTTGGGCTATTTGGTTGTATACTCAATAAAGTTATATGAGTTAACTTGCCTGACAATTATGATTGCTTGTATTTATTGTGTTACTAAAATTCTGCAACAGTTTGGTTGAGCTGGTTTTCAACTGTTTTGTGTTTTAGATAGGTAATTTTGTATTCAGTTGGTTGGAAGATTAACATGATTTTCAGGCTAGCATGATTTTCGGGTTTGCATTAGCCCCAATATTGCATTTCTGCCTATTCGAAATAACAACTAATGCTTTGGCCTTTTATTTATTTTTGACTTCAAGGAAAGCAGCCTTTCTTCCATTTCTTGTCACCCCTACAATATGTAGCGTACAGAAATCTGTCCTGCGTCTCCTGGCAGTTTCCTGAGATGGGGTGCCTACCCTCTGAGTTTTCAGTACCATGGGAGTGTGTGATTAGTGGTCACATTGAGTTAGATTGGGTAACTATTTCTATATAAGCCACCTTTCCCATTTCGTCAGCCAACAAGAATCCCTGTTTGTCGTAAAGACCTAGTGCTAGCATTCTTTGGTTGACATGATTGTGTAGACACTTGTATACAGGGTGTCAGTACTGAATAAGAATAGGAATGGCAAGTTTCTTATTGGTGGTAGGTGCTGCATCAGTACCAATCCCATATCAACCCTGGCATTAAGCCTATTTTCTTGTGTGTGGTGCAGGAATCAAGAGGGTTCTTTATGCGTAATCTCTTGAGACTAATCACAAGCTATTTGCCTTTATATTTCTGAAAGATCGACTTTCTGATAAATTAAATAACCATCTGAAAAAATTGATGGGCTTTAGGAATTAAAAGGAATTCTTTTATCCAAGACAAATAGTTTTTCAATTCATTTTAAGGAAATTGTGTGAGTTTACGGACCATTAGGTCTTATGTCTCCACTGGTCCATGATGCAGCTGCGGGGACAACAAGAAGCCTCCCAATGGGGCTAGTTTTGTCATTTTTTTTTTAACAATAGCTTTAGCTGTAATGGTTTGATGTATGGTCATTATGCAGAAAAGTAAACATCGTTAACATATATAGCCCATGGCTGTTCTGGAAGCTTGCTTGAATAATGCATATTTTTCTTTTTCTTTTTGGTTTCTTTAACAGGTGCCTTGCTGAAATTGGATGTTAGATATGTAATTAATTGATTCCTTTTCAGAAATTAAACTTTCTCCCTCCGTTGGAATTCACATTGATTTTGATCCTATGGTGTTCTTAGGCACTTGACGTAATTGAGCTTGATCAGAAAGCACAGCTTGTCCATGAATTGGATGGACATGTTATGAAATGTGTACGTGATCAGAATGGTAACCATGTCATACAGAAGTGCATTGAGGGTATACCGGCGGAAAAAATTGGATTCATAATCTCTGCCTTCCGTGGTGAAGTTGCAACTCTCTCCATGCATCCTTATGGTTGCCGTGTTATACAGGTATGTTATACTTCACTGGTTTGTTGGAAGCTCTCCTGCTCTCTTTTTCCTCTTCTGCCTATGGTTGTCTGTCATAACATTATCAAACATTGATAAATTTGGTTTATTGTAGAGAGTTCTAGAGCATTGTGCAGATGAGCTGCAATGTCAGTTCATAGTGGATGAGATCTTGGAGTCTGTCTGCATTCTTGCACAAGACCAGTATGGAAATTATGTTACTCAGGTCAGTGTTTCTTTGGTGCTGTGTCACCTCGAAATTTATAGCAAGCAATTGATTCTTTCTAAAAATCTTCTTTATACTAAGAGTGGGGTTGGTATTGGGTGAGATGGTCTGATAGTTGATCTAGTGACAAGATTAATTTAGTTTGGTAAATTTTGGGGGACAAGAAGAGTAATATCTATGCTTGGGAGAGTAGGAATAAGATATTTATGCAGGTAATGCGTCATGTATGTACCTGGCACTATTTCATGCATTGTATTGTGGTCTCATGATGGTAATGGTGCATTCTTGCTCATACTAGGAAAGAAATCATGACACAACTGAACTCTCAATGCTCAAGATAGATCTGCATCCAAGTCCGAGTGTTACAGAATAGGACTTAACCTTATCGGATGTGAATTCCATGTAGCACTCTGAATTGAATGCAGATCTAATATCCAATTGCAACATGGAATTCAGCTTAAACCTTCCTCATATTCTGTATTCGATGTGAATTCTATGTTTCAGTTGCTGTATTAATGGTGATGTGAATTAATGGTGAATTCCATGAAAGATATCAAATTATTAGCAAAACATGGAATGGGAATTAATGGTGAATTCCATTGAAAGATGCCAAATTATTCAATGGGACTTAAATTCCATGTTTCAATTTCTGTATTAATGATGATTCATTTATTCTTAACAGCATGTATTGGAGAGGGGGAAATCTTATGAAAGATGCCAAATTATTAGCAAATTGTCAGGGCATATTGTTCCGCTCAGCCAGCATAAGTTTGCGTCCAATGTTGTTGAGAAATGTTTGGAGTATGGTGGTGCCACAGAGCGGGAAATAATAATTCAGGAGATTCTTGGGCAGAATGAAGGAAACGATAATCTATTGGTTAGTCTAATGAAGCTTTTTTTATTAGGCTTTAAAGTCCTTCTGCATATCCCCTATTCTAAAAAGGCAGCTGACTTAGTCGCTCTGCTGAGGTCACTGTGAATAATTACAATCAGAATTTATGGAATTTCTCTAATCTCATTGACAGAAAGCATACTAGCTGCTGCTTTTTATTCCCAATACATGTTGCCAATGTTCTCACTGCTTTCAGCTTCTAAATCTGATGTCTGGTGCATGTTAATGTGTGTCTACTGTTTTAAATAGTTGTTTTATTTTTATTCTTATTTTATTGTAAACAAGTTGAACGCTATGTATCTGACATGCATCAAAGGTGAAGGGAAAGCTGTGCTACTAACTGCACCGGCAATTCTAAATGGACATTGAAAAGCAAAATGCTCTTACTAGACTTAAAGCTAATTAATAAGCGCATATTTCTCTCCATTATTTCCAACTTTATTTAAATCATGCTTTATAATGTCCAGAAGATAGTTTTTTATGATGGATATTGGTGTGAGTTGCACAACTCCTCTGTGATGCAATGATCATGATATTAAACTTTGAAGAGCTTGAGTGAAGTGTTTTCCGTTTCCCTTGTTTTAGGATTTCTCTATTGTTCATTTCTTGTCAGATATATAACAGTGTTCTTATTGTAAAAGAAATATGAACTCATAACTTCTTTCTTTTTGTCTCATGAGAATCAAAATCAACAATGAGCTCCAAAATGTCATTTCAGTAGTGTACTGGAGTCCATGATTTCATACTATTTGTTACTGACTTATTTTCAATCATATATGTTTTCATTTACTCCTTTTCCAGTTGACACGTTAATTTTCCAGATTTTTCCAAATTTCCTCACTCCTATAGGGGTTCTTACTCGTATATTGAGAATATATCTCGCACAATCTTAATTGTATAGGCATTTGAGTAAAGAAATGGGTCTGTTTCTTGTTATAATGCTGCCTCCTTGTGTGCTTGCCATTATCTTCAATCTCTAGTGCAATTTCACTTTGAAGGTTGAAATTCTGCATTCATTTGTGGGATTGTATTATTTTAATTAATTTTTGAAAGAGTTCTAAATGTTTCTTTTTATTTTCAAACCAGACAAACTTTGCAGCTTTAAGATGCCTCTATTATCTTAATTATTATTTTTTATCTGCTACTATGTTTCAGACAATGATGAAGGACCAATATGCAAATTATGTTGTCCAGAAGATTCTTGACACTTCTACTGATATTCAGCGGGCCATGTTGCTTAATCGTATAAGAACACATGTGCATGCTCTGAAGAAATATACTTACGGGAAGCACATTGTTGCTAGGTTCGAACAGCAATTTGGAGAAGGTATATATGCGTTTAAATTTCACTAGCTGTATACGTATATTTGAAATTGAACATTGCTTCACTAAATATTGTAAATTGGACATCAGGAGAACCTTTTAGAGTAGCTTGACTGCAGGTTTTGTTTGATCGCATCTTTGTCCAGCTCCTTATGCCTAGTTAAGTGTTAGTTGTTGGAAAAAAATAAAAATGGACAAATGAATTCTAGCTTGAAGATTCTTTTGAAGAGATTGAATTCCTATTTTGTAAGAATTGTCAGCGCAATAGCTGGTTAAAGAATACAACAGTCTGGGGACAATAAAGTGGTAACTTAGTCGGAAACTGAGGAATTTTTAATTTCATAAAAAGTAATAAATATGATTGGAATTCTCATGTCTCTATGGCAGAAATCACATCATTCCTGAAATGAAGTATGGCGCAAAGCTTTTACGACCCAGTAATCTTTCTAAGTCAAAAACTACTCAAAAGTCCCTCCTGGGAATTCATTTCCTTGGAACGACTAAGTAGGAGAATCACTACTGGGACTGCCCGTAATATGTTCTTTGCTTTATGAGTATTACAAAATCGAGCTTAGATACACACATGTTGTCAACTTGTATGCACCTCATGTTCTATTTCCTGGGTTTGTGAGAGGAACCACTGTTTAATATGCACCCTTTCAGTTTGAATATCATCCAGGTTGAGAGATAGGGTTAGATTCTTTGACTGGATTGCTAAGGATACTGTTGGTTTTAAAACATTTTATGATGATTTTCAAGTTAGATTTAGACTTTTTTGCGAATCATTGATGCTGGCTATCGATGATTCATTTGTAAATGGAACACAAAATTAGCAGTGTTCTTTGATTATTTGAAAATTTTCTTCTGTGCAGCCGACCCCAACTAGTTTGGGGTTGAGGTTCTGTTGTTGCTTTCACTCTGCCTATTAAACTTCTCACCTATGCAGAGAGTCAAACATCATGAACATGAGGCAGATGCATCGGTGGGGATTTTCAATTGCTAGCGCAGCTGCAACATGTGAAAGCCTCGCAGCTGATCCCATTCTTCCAACATTTGCAGAATTTGCACGAGACATGCAACAAAATCATGCAAGCATCCTTTGACTTGATGATGTTAATACATGACTACCTCAGGAAGCTTCCTTCATTAGTAACAAAAAGGGTTGGAATTGTAAAGTCAGTAAATATGTGTGCCACGGAACGGTTTGTATTTATGTTCGTAGTTGAACTATTCGGACCCAAAGGAAATCGAATGACAGTGGGACAACAGTTTAGATTGCAACAGATTCAAAGGGAATGGATTATTTAGAAGGTAAAGCTTCCCGATGGCTAATGCTGTAAAAACTAAAATCGTTTTGATGGGTTTGTTTGGTAAATGGCTTTCATTATAAATAGGTAATTATACAAATACCACTTCTTTTTCTTGTGTTGGGGACAAAGCAAGAACTTAGCTATGGACTCCATATGTGGGGTTGGTCCGAGTGGTTATGCCTTGCAGCTGAACTGAAAGACATGCTTGTCACCAGGAAAAAGGATACTTGGTAACAGGTTTCCCAGAACGTTAAGATGATGTCAGATATGCTCATGACGAAAAGTAAGAAACTGGGAGGAACCGGAATTCATCACCACGCTATTTCTAAATTTGCTTTTTCAGCTGTGGGTACTGGTCGAATTGTATACTACGTTGGTGCTTACGCAGGTATGAATTTCAGTTCTCGTTTTAGCATTATGATCTAGGCAGTTTAGTCAAGATTGTGTGCACGAATTTACAAACTATCAATACAGTTGTCGCTGACTAAAAAGGAGATCATAAAATTAAAAAAAAAAAAAATTATCCACGCTTCAAGTTTTGACAATTCTGAGGCTTGTGGTTTCTTCAGTTTTCGAGGGCTTTATATTTTCGTAATTTGTCCTAATCGTTAATTTAAATTTTTGTTCGTTGGAGCAGATGAGTTTGATCAATAGGAATCGTTCTTGAAATTCCAAAATCTGATACTTATGCTCTATATTTCTCAGAAAGGTAGGAGAATGTTCATATCTAGGATGTTTGTTAAATTCCTAGAACGTCAACAAGAGCCTAGATCTTCTAATCTATACATTTTGGACCGAATGAGCATCTCAATCACAAATTTACGTAACATTATCTTCAGTCAAGGCTCACCAAACCTTTATAGGTTCAATGGGATTGGGTAACATGAAAACAGGCGCTCTCTGTGACCCTCGAGGAAATGTTCTAAGCTAAGGCCATTTTTTTAAAAAAGTTTGTGCTCCAAATTGCTGGATTTTCTTGGCACAATTTTAGATGCAGAGATTATTGATATTCTCAACCTTGGCATAACAGTTTGGTATGAACCTTGAGGCATGAGGATATATACCTTGATATTCTTGATGTTCATGTGCAACATCAGCTGCCACTAGAGTTCTGCAACCAACGCGATTACATTCAAATCGACAGCAGTGAAAATTACAAACAAATCTTTAAAAATAAAACAAATCAGTCTTAAAAAGAAAAGAAAATTTGATAAGATTGTCCAATATAATTGAATCCCATTATTATTAAACCTCGTAGATTGTCTAGTCAGAGGATCATTGTATCCCTGAAAGAGATTGACGGATCACCGGTTCTACCATGTAGGATATATAGTTAAAAATAATTAGATTAAATCAAAGATAGCCCTCTTCAATTAAAACAGAATGTTTCTTTGTCCACAATAAAAACAGAGTTATACGAAAAAGTTTTATGTTCAAAATAAATATTTTTACATTCAATAACTTGTGTCGTGTGAATTATTTTAATTATGGATATTATACAAATACTATGCTAGGATTTGAATTTATGTATAAAATAAAAGAGAAGAATCAGACCTCCGAGAGGTTTCTTCTCGTCTGAAAGCTGAGTGATAATGTAAACAATAGCAGCCAGCTCAGACTTAGGGTTCGTCCTTATATCAATCTATTTCATTTTTGCAAGAGCTTCACCCACAGCTTTCACGGCATAGTTTCTCATGCCAAGACTGGAACAGAACCGTCTCACAAGCAATTCACTAGGATTCATGGTCCCTGAGGTCATATCCTCCAATTCTACATGCCTCTTTATAACCTTTAAATAATTTTTATATAAACTGGATAATTAATTCGGTTAACAAAGTGAAATAATCAATCTCTAAACTTGTCCATTTAATAAGTTAATTAAACATGGATCTTATTATTTTCTTGGAAATTCAGATTTAACTAAAATTAATCATTTTGACCTTTACTGATTAACTATCATTTGAAATATCCATTCCAATTAATTAACTTGTTAGTCCATTGGAGATTAAATAATTCACTTACCTCTCTGGAAACTATTTTGGTTTAGGATTAACCAATTCATTTAATTAATTTATACCATTTAAAGCCATTTATTTATTTAACCTTTAATCCTTTTGTTAGCTTAACTTCTAATTTTCGGTTGATCAAATTAATTTCTTGTCTAACTATGAATTAACCTGCTAAACCATTTAATTAATTTATCAAAATTTCAAAATAATTATATATTCATTCTTGTTCTAAATCGACAATGATGCCTAAACCATTAAGAATGGAATAGGTTAAAACCTGTAGTAATTTATAGTACACTTTGGCAAGCTCCTTTGACTCCTTTCCTTTCGGTTTTGTCATCAACTTTGCATTGAGTCCTTGCTTTTTGATGATTACCTACTTCATAATACAATTTGGTGAGCTTACGTTTAGTAATTATAGCCATGTATGCATGATGCAATGAAATATATTTTCATAACTTTGGAAATATGTTTTCCGTGATTGAGTTCACCCTACTAAATATATTTATATATATTCGACTATCCATGAAAATCATGTCTATAAAAATCTTGAAGCACTAGACATGTCCCTATGAAACCTGTGACACCCACAAAGAGTTTATACTAGATCATTCTCTTTATGAACCATGATTGAGCTTGTGATTGTGATTTGAACATGTCTAGCCATAGTTTTAAATAATAGACGGATAAAAAAATGATCGTGGTCATCATTGCGGATCGTGGTTTATTATAATACTAAAATAACGATAACGGGATGCTCCAAAACCGTTATATAACGACCGTTACATAACGTAACGTGAGTTGTTTAAAACTATGTGTCTAGCCATTTTTATTGAAAATCCATGCACTTGATTTTGCCTTTGAAAACCATGAAAGATGCTGAAAACCATTTCATGAAATGCATGACAATTACATAATCAACCAAATAACACATAAAAAAAACATTAAACCATTCAAAATAATACTAGCCGACCAATCACAACATGAACGCAAACTTTTATCAAACATGAATCATCAAATAATCCCCCAATATTCACTTTCATAAACATTTTTTATGAATAAACATCAAGACCAACAAAATAGCCACTAGGCCTAATTCTATCATGAATTATTTAATAACCAATTCAACATGAAATCAATTAAATATCACATGAATTCTTTCTCAATTAATCATACAACCTATAATTAACATCATTATAATATAACATGAAAATCATATCAACACATATATTAATCTAGACTTGGCCGAATTAATCAAATCACCAAATTAAGAAGAGTTTTTCCATTTAAACACCCATTTCCAAGTTAATTCCTTCTTTTAATCCATAAATCAACATAAAAAATCAATCAATCCCATCACTTCTATCTTAGGGTTTTTGGTCGAATATACTTAACCAAATAACCAACCTAAAATTCATCAATTCAATACATCCATACACATTTCATCCATCATTTAAACATGTAATTAACTCAATTATACAAAGAAATCCAATTTAGCCCAAATTCTTAATTATGGCCGAATCTTTCAAGTAACCTAATCCATGATAAATTTTTTAATCAAACACATTTAAAAATGCCTATTCCACGTAAAGAACACCTAATTAACTCAAAATCATAAAAACTCACAATTTCTCCCAAAATCTAGGTTTAGGCCAAAACATCAACATGAATTCATCAACTTTAATTCTTCAATTCAACCTTAATTAAGCTTGAAAACGTGATAATCCGACCATTAAAAAACATGATTTCATCAAAACTTCAACAAGATCAACAAGTTCACCAAAACTCAAACACTTGAACATTAAATTCACAACTTCTAAAACTTCAACACATGAACAATCAAGCACAAAACAACCATTTCTTGCGATGTATGAAACTATATATACCTCAATTAATGCTTGATTGAATTCTACTTTGATAGCTTGAAATCTCTTCCTCCTTTTCATCCATCAAGTTTCGGCCCAAGCTTCAATTTTCCTCCTTCTTTATTTGGTTTCTTTAAGCATTTTTTAGGTGATTTTGGGATATATCTTGGGTTATTTAGGTATTTTTAGGTGGTGTTTAACTTTTTCTTTCCCTTAAAAATGGCTTGAATTCAAGTTGTTTTACCTTGAATTTTCATTCTTCCATCATCCTTTTCTTTCCCTCTTTAGCCGAATTTATATAGAGGAAATTCTCTTGAGATTTTGCCAAGTGTGGTACACTTAGATTCATCCTCTCAATCCCTTCTTCTAGTAATTTTTCTATAATTCTCTCACATTTTCTTTACTTTTCTTTCTTTGATTTTTCCTTAGATATTTTTCTTTTTGTTCTATCACATGGCCAAATTTTTCAAGCCATTCTCTCATATATTTTTCTCACTTAATTCTGGTTGGAAATCCCTATTCCAACAGAATAAGTTGGTCTAATTTACCAAAGTTTTACATTTTGGTCTATATACTTTCCAATTAGTTCAATTGAGTCCTTACATTTTAGTCCTTAAAATTTCAATTTTCCATGGTCAAGTCCTTAGTCTAAGCTTTTCTAGTCTTATAGTGGTCATTTAAGTTTTTTAATTATTTCAGTCAAGTATCCAAACTTTTAATTATTACAATTAAGCCCTTAATTGTCCCACATACCTTAAACCCTTAACAACTTAATCATTCAAAATTAAATAATTAATAAAACAAAATTAAGCACAATTTTATACAAATCTAAAATACATATTCTATTCATACCTTAAACGTAATTATTTATATGTTTAATAAAAAATACATATAACACATATATATTTAAGATAAAAACAAACACATATACATACACAGGAATGTACTAAATCAGAGCATTAAAAATCCTCCCCTTCTATAAATTCCATCCTCAGAATTTGATTTATTTACCCTTTCATCGTGTAAGTCATCCTTCACCGGTTCGTGTGTCATTACATATACTTGTCTTGGTGCCTTTGATATGACCTTATTCGTTTTGGGACAGCCCTTAGTTAGGTGGTCGTGCTCTTTACAGTAATAGCATATGTTGGTACCCATCAAGCAATCTCCAACGTGTGGAGTATTTTAACAAAAATTTGACAAATTTTTCCCTATAAACTAGATGTTTTCCAAATAAAAGAAAACATAATTAACATCAAATTAATTAATCTCCTGCTTCCATCTCCATCGTGGAGTATTGACAATTACCTTATACCTCCTTAATTATATCCTTAGGGTGTCACCCTAATATGATTAACCAAACACTTCAATTTTTTTTTTTACACTTTAAGAATAAGCACATAAGTATTTCAATAATAATCTTGTTGGAAAATAATATAACAAATGATTTCATACAAGTATGAACTATAAAATTACATCAATATAAATAAATTTAACACCTAAATAATTTTTTTTACCAATAAATTAACTGATTTTAACACATAAGTAACTTAATTAATACCAAATTAATTAAACTAACACTTGATTAAATTTCTCAAACTATTAATTAATTTAATTAACAACTAATTAACTATTTTTAACAACTAAATAAATTAAATAAAAATTAATTAAATAAAATTAACACCTTATTAAATATTTCAAAATTTTAATTAACAACTAACTAAAATTTTTTAACAACTAAATAACTTAAATTAACAACTAATTAATTAAAATAAAACCTAATTAAAATTTTTAAAAAATTTAATAATTTAATTTAACAACAAAATAACATAATTAACAACTAATTGATTAAATTAGCATCTAATTAACTTTTTAAATATGTAATTAATTTAATTAACAACTTATTAACTTATTTTAACAACTAAAAAACTTAAGTAACAACTAATTAATTAAACTTAACACCTTATTAAGTATTTTATTAATTTAATTAACAACTAATTAATTAAACTAACATCTAATTAATTTGTTTTTTAAATTTAATAATTTAATTAACAATTAATTAACTTAATTTAACAGGTAAATAACTTTATTTAACAATTAAATAACTTTATTTAACAACTAATTAATTAAATTAATGTCTAATTAATTTTTTTAATATTTAATTCATTTAATTAACAACTAATTAACTTATTTTAACATCTAAAAAACTTAAATAACAACTAATTAATTAAACTTAACACCTTTTTAAATATTTTATTAATAGCAAATTAAATTTTTTTAACAACTAAATATCTTAATTAACAACTAATTAGCTAAACTAATAACTAATTTTTAAAACTATTTAATAATTTAATCAAAAAATATTTAAATTAATTTAAAAACTAAATAACTTAATTTAACAACTAAATAATTTAACTAACAACTAATTATTTACATTAACATCCAATTAAATTTTTTAAAATATTTAATTAACAACTAATTCACTTATTTTAACAACAAAAAAATTAATTAAAAACTAAGTAATTAAACTTAACACCTTATTAAATATTTTATTAATTTAATTAAAAATTAATTAATTTTTTTAACAACTAAATAACTTAATTAACAACTAATTAATTAAACTAACACCTAATTAAATTTTTTAAACACTTAAATACTTTGATTAATAACTAATTAGCTTTAGTTGACAACTAAATGAACTTATTAACAACTAATTAATTAAACTAAAGCCTAATTAATTTTTTGCCAACTAATTAAAATTTTTTGATAAATAATTAATTTAATTAACAACTACCAAATTAACACTAAAAAGAAAATAAATTAAACTAACTAACAATTAACAAAAAAATTAATTAAACAACAACACATATAAATATTGAAATCAGATCGGATAAAAATCAATAAAAGTATTGAACTCACAATGATTGAGTTAGGAGGAGAGAATGGAAGAGCTGTTGCCCACAAATGGAGGAGAGAGGAGGGAGGAGCTACCGCAAACTCACGAGAGAAGAGAAGGGAAGGGAGGAGTAGAAGGAAAGGAGAGAAAGAAGAAGAAAATGGTGGAGGAAAAGGGAAAAGGTGGAGGGGAAGAAGAAGAAAAGAAGAGAGAATGGGAGTTTCGAAGGATTAATGGCGTCAATGGAGGATTTAGAGTGGGAGGGGATGTTGGCGAAGAAGAAGAAGAGAGAGAGAAGAAGAAAAAAAATGAGAAAATGGCATCAATAGCATATGTTGGTACCTATCGAGCGACTGAGGGTCGGTTGTGCGTTGGGTTTTCATGTGCATGAGCGCTAACATCCAATGTCGGCCTCACGTGCCCCCTATTAATTTTTAACCCAAATTTCAATTTTAAATTCATATGAAATACCAAAAATACAAGATTTATAATTATGCATAGCTAATTCATGCAATTAATCATAATTAACGTAATATACAATCAAAGATTCAACGGAGGCTCTAATACCAATTGAAGGACTATGCATCCTATGAAGATGCGAAATAAAAACAAATT